GGGGGGGGTGCAATCTTTTCAATAATCACATTGCAAAGAACATTGAGAGTTCAAGTAGGTTGCGCACTGGAAAAGTTTGACAATGTGTTTTGATAACTTGACATTTGTCTTTCTGAAATCACCCTTTTCCTTTCCCCTTCCCCAGAAGCCATCTTGTGGGGACTCTTTGTTCTACCGACTAAAATTCTATTTAAAATATGTAATTGTATTGTAGATACAGAAAAGTGTAAAGACACGGAATAACATCAAGAGGCTAGCCGGGATAGGGAAAGATAGAAAGTGTTTGTTCATGGCCTACACCGATTTTAGATCCTCTCAAAGATACTATTTAGATAATTCCGGCGGCAGTCTGCTTTGGCCCTCCCCGTCAGAGCCAATCCATGGTGAGAGGGAAACACCACCCCAGGAGAAGGACGAAGATATTCGGTAGAAATTTATGTCTTCTGGGTGTGATGGTGAAACGCTTGGCTGCTATACAGTGGTCTGTTGAAAGGGGAAGAGAATTGTTTAAGTAAGCAGGCACATGCAAATGGAAACTCAAATTAACGAATGATCAATGAATATCCAAATAACGATGACGTAACGAAAAGCAGTGAGAGTGATTCGGGACTTACGAAGATAGGTCCTGCTACTTTTCGTGGTTCATATTGTTTCTTTCAGTCAGCTGTGCGTCTTGGGTTTTTTTACGGCGCTAAAAAGAACCCTCATTTTGTTTATGTGTTTCTTTCTACTTAAACTAACAAACAAACCAAACAAAAAACAAAAAACAAAGTAGCAAACAAACAAACAATCCCCCAATGTCACGGTGGAGCCGTTAACGCGTTTGTGTTTTTCAGGTGCTGAAGCTGTACGCCTGGGAGACCTCGTTCCACGACCGTGTACAAGGAATCCGCGCCTTGGAGATTGGCACTCTCTTCAAGATAGCGCTGTTCTACGTCGTCTCTGGGGTCTGTTGGAACCTGGCCGGGTATTTGGTGAGTGGTTAGGTTTTCGATCGAGAGACAAGGGATGGGAGATGAGAGAGAGAGAGAGAGAGAGAG